CATGCGCTCTTAGGTAGGCAAAAGTAAAAGGAACAAAACTTAATAGGTTTGTAGTTAATGTTTTATTTACTCTGATTATCTAGCATCGGGTTTACACGGTTGGCACTTGATACCCATAATATACGTTATTGAATGATTTGAAGTGCAATACAGGATAAACTCTGCTCGAGAAATATCGAGACAGAATATATCCTGTATTGCACTTCAAACCATTCAATAACGTTTTTATCGCGTGATCCTCTGTATTGGTACTGAGTTTGTCCCCTCCGTACCGATATTTTCTGTATTACAACGGAGAAGATCAATGGGGACAATCTCAGTAGCAATGCAGATTGGTACAGCACAAGATCTGACCAATCAGAGGGCTTCATTTTACAGATCATACGATAAGAGGGTATATTATCCGTACGAATTATCAAAAAATGAAATAAACACAAACAAGCTATATGAGTTGAGTTAAGCAAGAAATACGATTTATAAATAACATTCTAACTCGTATGAAATTTGAAAATATAGAGAAATGCTTGCACACAGATAAGTTAACGAGTGCAATTACATATAGGACATAACCTTAATCTAAACATATGTACAATTAATTATGAATAATATACACATAAACGTAATTGATTTATACATGTACCGTTTGCCTTTTCAATATTTTATTTTAAAAAAAGAAAAAATGTTGTTACACTGACTACTACGTATTTGTGGTCTTTTTTAGGAAAATTACCTTAAAATTATAGCTTATAACCTAAAGCATATACTTAAAATATATTTGATTTGATCTCTGAAGTATTATGTACATCAAATTGTGAAATAGTTTTGTTTTTTACCCCTTCAAATGGCAAGCATAATTCCCCCTTGAGTGTATCAGTCAGCCATAATAAAAATAAATAAGATATAAGTAATAGTCTAGAATATTTTCAAATAAAAGCCTCTAGAAAGAGAGTTCTTACATTTTGGCAAGCACCCTAGAGATTTGTATCAAAATAATCCTTTATATCTTACAAACGATTTGTGAAATTTGTCAAGGTGAACGAGGTGTCGAAAGGCACTAATTGTATTTAGACGATTAATTAGTATAGCATTCCTCATTTCTTAACACCCCAGTCACATTTCCTACGGCGACCTTGCGGTCTATCATTTCTGCGGCCAGTAACATTTCTACGCTCGCCGTGGAATTTCTGCGCTCTCATACTTTTGCAGTCACATTTCCCATGGCGGCCGCACGGTGGATTTTAAATTTCTGTTGATAAATAATACTTTTTTCATTAATTTACATCGGGACAATTTATAAATGTTATTCATAGTGCTAGGGCGTAATATCAAATGAAAAGTGATCGTGAAACATTGCCAAATAATGATTCAATTTTGTTGAGCCAGTTGATTTTTACGGGGACCTCAGAAATGAACAAATATTATAACTCCGAGTTATAATTTCTACGCCTTCCCTGCGACCTGTAAAAATCTGCATTCGCCGTACGGAGGCCGCCAGGCGAGCGTAGTTTTTCTACGCTCGGCGCAGAAATTCACCGATTTAATTGATCTGCGGTCGACTTGCGGCCGCCGTGCGACAAATGTGACTGGGGTGTAACTAGTTCAAACAATACAACCAGTGTTGATCACCACATAAATGCCAAAATAGCTATGGTCAATGTGTCAATTGTTTCATGCTGGACATGTGCCAGTGTTTACTCCACAGTACTCAATTTGCTTTGATTGATTTTTACTGAATAAGTAAACCAATAATCAGAATCACACTACAGCATTGCAGCATTGTCTGCTCCTCAGATTCTCTCATAAGGGAACTACTGTTATCATATAAAATACATGCATATTTGATATACCAAATGGTTATTTTACTATACTGTAAGTAACCCATAATCAAGTCACGTTGTATTAATGAGGTAGTCTAGCTACAAGCCTCTGTGACCCCTCCCCCTCTACTTGAGTAAACATCTTCTCACACAGAGCCTGTACCTAGACCCCGGGACCTAGACACACAACAGGGCAATTAAAAAGGGATATTTTGATGTACCAAGGAGATACTTGTTCTTGATCATAACTTGGTACCAATGAAATTACAGTCAATAAATAAATGAGAATAATTATGAAATAGAAGATGAAGATGAAAATCACGTTAAAATATATGTCAAATGTACTAGTATTAATCATGAGTTCTACATTCATACCAGACATACACTGCTCAAAGGAATGCAAGGCTTATTGGTCAGTGCCAATGATCCCAATGTCTTGGATGAAATGTACTGCTGGGTGCAAATATGACAACAGATTGATGCAGTTCAAATCTTTGCTAATCGTTAACATTAAATACTTTTTGAATCAACAATTTAACATTGTTAATGGTGATGCTTTCAGTGTCAGTGATAATTCTATTGAGATAAGTATTTTAAAGATTATTTTGTATCAATAGATTTCCTATTTATGATCAATTTTTACAAATGTCATTGACCATACATCTTCTTGTAATAGAGGAGACATTAAAATATTCATTGTAGATAACGTATAAACTGGAATATACATAAAACAAAAGGTATACATAGCAGAGCCGTAGCCCACTTTCAAACAGCTGAGGGGGGCTGGGATCATAGTATTTTAAAAACCGGTGCAACCTCCTTCAAAATTGAGCTAAAACTTCAAAAAGCATTCTTAACCTCTCATCTCTTTTTTGGTTGTATTTTTGGGGTTGGGTTGAGATCGCACCAACCGCAACCCCCTGTTTTAACTCCTTGCAGTAATGTTAATTCAAGTGCCTTTGAATCCGCAAGATACAAACCACAAGGCAATACCTCAAACAGCTTCGAAAATCTCTCAAAATTGATAACAGACTGTTTTCCTCACTATTTTATAATCAATCAGACTTTATTTGTTAAAGTTAAAGTGTTTATTGTACGGTTTATATAAATAGTTGCGACTCCCGTTGAATAAACTTCATCATAGCATAAGGAAATGAATTAGAATATAAAAAACAAATAATTGTTTGTTGTTCTTAATAAATCACACTTCAGTGAACGTGTTGTTTCGGTTTCGATCAATTGAACTCTATATTCATGAGCCTACGATGACGTCTACATAGGCACATTAGACTACATGAATATAGAGCTGGTTACGTTCACTCCTGTAATTATGAATGAATAGTAGACAATGTTTAGGCCCCCATGTTGAGTTCACTCAGAATACATTTTGAGTAGAGCTTATCACGCTCACTCCTGTAATTGTGAATAAATAGTTCAGAATGTTTGGGGCCCCTGATTGTGTTCACTCGGAATGATACGTTTGAAGTAGGCTAAAACCAATTTGAATTTGAATCGTGTCTCCTCTATTCACCGTGACAGAGCTGCGATTTGCGAGCGATTATTACAACACCTTAGTGAACACCCCCAATAATACCTCGCTTATGCCTGGGTCACATATGCTCCGATCCATCGGCCGGCGCCCGGCCGATTGAGTGTTTTGTTCAATATTGTATTCAATTTTGAACAAAATACTCAATCGGCCGGGCGCCGTAGTGAAAATCGGAGCAAATGTGACAAAGGCATTTCATAAGGTCAGATTCACACTGTATCGGGGCCTTGGCGATGGGAGTATTATGTGGATTTAATTTTTAACACAATACTAATCCCCGGCACCCTTGTGATGAAACTGAGCTTATTTTGATCACACAACAACTTCATGATCATGACAGAAATTTGAAAGTTCGCGTGGCTTGCGCAAATTATATATATATATTGATATTATTATTATCATTTTTGTTTAAAACACTTCCTTTTGCTCAATTTAGAAATATGCTTGTTTTACAATATTTCGATTGATTGGTGCAATACGGGATGTACAATTAGATTATTCTTGTACATCAGAAATACATTGCACGTAGGCTTACTTCGGATCGCGCGTGCAATCTAGGTTCAAGGCCATTTTCTCTCTTTCCAAGGAGAATAAATATAACAAAATTCAGATGGGCATTTTTGTACTTCTTTATTCGTCCATTATAGTGAAGTCTTGGGGTTGTTACGCCTGTGGAGCATCTATATTGATTCAGGGGAGCACGTTTTATATAATTTCGATAGGAAAAGAAAATTGAGATACAGTGCAATAAACTCTTTAAATTTAACAAAATATATTTCAATTTTTGAATTTCTCTTGTAAAAACGCATTTCACCCCAGGAACACATTTCCACACCCGTTTCATTTTGGTAAATCTCAGTATCAATAAAATAACCCTTGATTAAACATGGTATATTTTGACTTTTTGAGTCAACGAGACTGTATTTTACATAATAATTTTTCTAAAAATGTTCTTTTTAACATAAAATTATTTTTGCAAAAACACATTTTACCCCAAAACTTACTTCGACACCTATTTCATCTTGGCAAATCTCAATATCAACAAAGGGACCCTATACCTTTCAATTATATACCATGGTTAAGCTGCTCGTTAAAATATGTTAACGGTGTCATCATATGTTTTGAACACACTCGCTTTAGTCGATATTGCATGCAAATCACAAAGAAAAAACTATTAAGCTCCAAAAATCCCCTTAGTTGATTAAACATAGTATGTTTTGACTTTTGAGACTGTTTTTATATAATAGATTTTCAAATATATTTTTTTATCAATTTAAATTTTAGGGGAAAAAACTATTAATGTCCCCCCCCCCCCAAGTTGATTAAACATGGTATATTTCGACTTCTGAGAGTCAACTAGACTATATTTATATAATAAGCTTTCAAAAATATTTTTTTTATCAATTTAAAATTTTTTACCCAAAAAGTCACTTCGACACCTATTTCATCTCAGCAAATCTCAGTATTAATAAACCCTTTACATTTCATTTGATAACCATGGTTAAGGTGCTCGTCAAAATGTAAGATGTCATTTTATTTTCAACATACCTATTCTAGACTCAAAGTATAAGGTAGCCATTTTTCAGTCAACTTACAGTGACAATAAGTGCTAAAATATAAACGAATCTTGCTTAAGGATGTATACAGATATGAACTCGAAATGGCTTTTTAATGCCTTATTAAGCTATGTTGAGCACTACGTTTTTGCAATTAATAGTACAATTTTTCAAATTTTCATTGATTTTGACCTGAGATGCAGTAGAACTGTATGCAGGAGGAGTGTCTGCAGGATTGATCGCGGGAGGACTGCATGCAGTGTTGTTTGCATATCCAACATTAATACGGCCATCTTGTTGCGATTGTTGTGTATTTGATACCTGCAAATGTAGACATGTTAAAATTGATGAACGTGCTTAAAATATGATATATTAAGCAGGTCACCAAATCCCAATTTTAAGTATCCTGATAAAACGTACATTAGTACCCCGGACGGGTTGTATGATGCAGTCGTGTTTTTACTCTATATTTGCAATGGAACAACCATTCTTATTGAAATTTTCAAGATTTATTCCAGAGACAATTTCCAACATGGAAAATAAATATTTTATCAAAATTTCCATGCTTTTGCATGCTGAGTGACGGTGTTGGAAAAACCCAGTGGCGAGAAAGGTGCGTTATCAGAGGAAATGTGACCTAGATAGACAATTTTTTCATTGGCCTAATGCACTGTAATAATATCACTGAATATGACAAAAAATGAATAACAATAATCAGCCATAATTAATATGGCATCAAATACATCTGGAAAGACTTCAGGCAGCCAAAAATTCAATAGCTTGACAATCTTTGAAATGATGTTAAAAATTCAATTGTTCAAGCAAAAACCTGTATTTTATTGACAGTGGCATCTTTTTGAAAAAGAGCCTATTAAAATCATGAAAGTAGGAATTTCATTAAAATAATTTTTTTCCATGTTGGAAATTGTCTCCAAAATAAAATATGAACATTTCAATAAGAATCGTTTTTTTAATAAACGGTACATTTTATCAAATTTTCTTTAATTTGGACCTGAGGTGCAGTAGGAGTGTTTGCAGGAGTGTAAGCAGGATTGTTCGCGGGAGGTCTGCATGCAGTATTGTTTGCATATCCAACATTAATACGGCCATCTTGTTGCGATTGTTGTGTATTTGATACCTGCAAATGTAGACATGTTAAAATTGATGAACGTGCTTAAAATATTATATATCAAGCAGGTCACCAAATCCCAATTTTAAGTATCCTGATAAAACGTATATTATGAACTTACATTTGTTCTGTTACTTGTGTCGTTACCACAACAGAAAGCCTTATTTTTGGGAAAAACACATTTTACCTAAAAAACTAACTTTGACACCTATTTCATTTTGCAAATCTCAGTATCAATAAACGGTTCCATATTTTGAACACACTTGTTTTAGTCGATATTGCATGCAAATCCCAAAGAAAAAACTATTAATGTCCCAAAATCCCCCCAAGTTGATTAAACATGGAATATTTCGACTTTTGAGAGTCAACTAGATTGTATTTAATATAATAAGTTTTCAAAAATATTTTTTTATCAATTTTAAAAAAAAATTGCAAAAAAACATTTCTTACCCAAGAAGTCACTTCGACACCTATTTCATCTTGGCAAATCTCAGTATCAATAAAGGAACGCTTTACCTTTCAATTATTAACCATGGTTAAGCTGCTCATCAAAATGTGTTAACAGTGTCATCATATTTTGAACACACTCGTTTTAGTCAATATTGCATGCAAATCCCAAAGAAAAAACTACTAATGTCCCAAAATCCCCCAAGTTGATTAAACATGGTATATTTCGACTTTTGAGAGTCAACTAGACTGTATTTTATATAATAAGTTTTCAAAAATATTTTTCATCAATTTTAAAATATTTTTTGCAAAAAACACATTTTTACCCAAAAAGTCACTTCTACACCTATTTCATCTTGGCGAATCTCAGTATCAATAAAGAAACCCTTTACCTTTCATTTGATAACCATGGTAAAGGTGCTAGACAAAATGTAAGATGTCATTTTATTTTCAACATACCTATTCTCGACTATAAGTAAAAGGTAGCATTTTATTGTCAACTTACTGTGACAATAAGTGCTAAAATATAAACGAATCTTGCTTAAGGATGTCTACAGATATGAACTAAAAATGGCTTTTTTAAATGCCTTATAAAGCTATGTTGAGCACTACTTTTTTGAAATAAACAGTTACTCGTCGCAAGATCCTGGAGAAATCGCTTATTTTACGCCATTTTTAATATTCATCCTTTTACCATTTCGCTGTACATTAGAGTGACATAACCTATTATATATCATTTTGAAGGGTAACCCCTCATCTGTTTGAATATAGCATTAAGATGTATTAGAAATCTAGCATAACGCAGCGTTCTACCGTTTTTTATGCGAGGAAACTGCAAATTAACGTTGTAATGTAACGTAATTCCTTGTAAAAATACCTTAAATCATGAATATTTCGGTAAAACGTTGATCAAAATGCTCCAAAATTTGCTCCTACATTCACTGGACCATGTAAAATTATGATGTCATGACAAATTGACGGTTACAATTCAAATATTTTGTATAGAACGCATTAGATTTCTTCGGGGAAAGTGTAAGATTTTTTGGCGTAAAACACATAGGGTAAGTTTACTGCTTCTAACTTTTTTATTACTAGACAAAAGAAAAAGATTTTCGATATGGACAATATAGTCCTGGCGAGATTAAAGAATATATTCTGAAAAAAAAAACTTATTGCCTTTTACCCTGCGTAAAGCCAGATACAAAAAGTGGTACAAGAATGTACAAGAGCAAATTTTTACGTTAATTTTATCGCATAGTCTATTTTGAGGGGTATTTTAATGGATTTAGATATAATATCTTTAAAATTTGACTTGATTTTCAAAATATTGTCCTTGTCAAACTGATGCCTGTGAATTTTCATTAAGATTAATAATTAGTAAAGCACCATACTTTAAAAATAAAAAAGTGGTACAAAAATGTACGTTCCCTATTTTACGACGTAAAGGAGATTCTTAGTCAGTCTTTTGTTAAGATCTTCCTATTATTATCAGTCGTGTTATGACGTCATAAACGATATCCAAAACACTTAAAGGACAAGTGAAATAGCTTTTCTCAACTTGCAGCTACAAAAATGCGGTTTTCCCCATTGTAAGCCCACCGTAGAGTTCTTGCGATAGCCATTATAAAATAAATGTTAGATAACTGCTAACGGTCATAGATAACGAAATAAAACTAACTGATAAATCAAATTGGCCCCCACGTGATTAGTAACGTCATATACAAAATATAGCTTTGGTTTATTTTTTCCATAGTAATCACAACGCCACGGCAACCATAGGATTGTTGTGTAAACAAATAACAAAACATTTTGGCATTATGACGTCATGATCTAATGGGACCAAATCGGGCCACGTGGGGACCAGTGAGAGATCACGTGGGGGCCAATAACGTCACAACCAATTCGAATATTGCTTATTAAGCAGCTATAACGATCGTTAGAGTGAAATAGTTTTCACACTTCTGATGAGAAAACATGTCCAAATACATCTATCAAAAAATTATATTGATTCCTTTAGGTTAAAAATACCATTTCATATCTGCTTTAAATGCTTATATCTTATGTTCAACAATATACTATTTTGGCTATAACTACTTATTCAAGACGGAGTGACAATGAAATATTCTGTTATCATATACTGGTAATGCTTTATAAGATTACAAAACAAAAATGGGTTAATTCGTCGTCAAGATATTCATCATGTTCAAGCGTTCCATAGAAGGAATACACGACGCGGAACACATAATACATAGAGTTCCTGTAAAGCTGGTATTCCAAGGTTTCCAACGGTATACAGAATACTTCAACACACTTACAATATCTTAAAAGCACAAATTGTTTACGTGTTGTTACTTTTGTAATTTTTCGATAGTTCTCGGGTGTTACAGGGAGTTCCCCAGGATCTTGTAACGACAGTACATTTTATCAAATTTTCTTTAATTTGGACCTGAGGTGCAGTAGGACTGTTTGCAGAAGGAGGGTAATCAGGATTGTTCGCGGGAGGTCTGTATGTAGTATTGTTTGCATATCCAACATTAATACGGCCATCTTGTTGCGATTGTTGTGTATTTGATACTTGCAAATGTAGACATGTTAAAATTGATGGAAGTGCTTGAAGTATGATATATCAAGCAGGTCACCAAATCCCAATTTTTAGTATCCTGATAAAACATACATTATGAACTTACATTTGTCCTGTTACTTGTGTCGTTACCACAACAGAAAGCCTTATTTTTGGAAAAACACATTTTTACCAAAAAATAACTTTGACACCTATTTTATCTTTGCAAATCTCAGTATCAATAAAGGGACCCTTTAGCTTTCAATTATTAACCATGGTTAAGCTGCTCGTCAAAAATGTGTTAACGGTGTCATCATATTTTGAACACACTTGTTTTAGTCGATATTGCATGCAAATCCCAAAGAAAAAACTATTAATGTCCCAAAATCCCCCAAGTTGATTAAACATGGTATATTTCGACTTTTGAGAGTCAACTAGACTGTATTTTATATAATAAGTTTTCAAAAAAATTTGCAAAAAAAATTTTTTACCCAAAAAGTTGCTTTGACACCTATTTCATCTTGGCAAATCTCAGTATCAATAAAGGAACGCTTTACCTTTCAATTATTAACCATGGTTAAGCTGCTCATCAAAATGTGTTAACGGTGTCATCATATTTGGAACACACTCGTTTGAGTCGATATTGCATGCAAATTCCAAAGAAAAGACTACTAATGTCCCAAAATCCCCCAAGTTGATTAAACATGGTATATTTCGACTTTTGAGAGTCAACTAGACTGTATTTTATATAATAAGTTTTCAAAAATATTTTTTATCAATTTAGAAAATTTTTTTTGCAAAAAGCACATTTTTACCCAAAAAGTCACTTCGACACCTATTTCATCTTAGCGAATCTCAGTATCAATAAGGAGACCCTTTACCTTTTATTTTATAACCATGGTTAAGGTGCTCGACAAAATGTAAGATGTCATTTTATTTTCAACATACCTATTCTAGACTATAAGTAAAAGGCAGCCATTTTATTATCAACTTACTTTGACAATAAGTGCTAAAATATAAACGAATCTTGTTTAAGGATGTCTACAGATATGAACTCGAAATGGGTCTTTTTTAATGCCTTATTAAGCTATGCTGAGCACTATTTTTTGAAATTAATTTTATCAAATTTTCTTTAATTTGGACCTGAGGTGCAGTAGGACTGTATGCAGGAGGAGTGTATGCAGGATTGTGATGAACGTGCTTGAAGTATGATATATCAAGCAGGTCACCAAATCCCAATTTTAAGTATCCTGAATTCCTGATAAAACGTATATTATGAACTTACATTTGTTCTGTCACTTGTGTCGTCACCACAACAGAAAGCCTTACAACAATTGACTAACGAGGTGACACCCAGAGCTGCCTGGATGAGAGATGTAGCCACTAGTGAACCATTTATAGCAACACTGACATCCTAATAATTAATTACATGAATGATCATTTATCCATTATGTAATCTTTATCCTCCGTTACATATAGGGGTATGTCATGGAATAGTTCCCACCAGAGCGGACTGACTTTTTCACATCAGCCCTTAACATAGGATTTGATCGGTAGTTTAGAAAATACAACACCAAGAAAATGCATGATGGGGCTCCCAGAGGGTATACACATTTTTCACCAAGTGCTTTTTTCGTAGTTTGAGTCTCAAGACCAATTAAAAAAAGAACACTTTCTGATATATTTATGGTGCTTCAAGAAATTAGGCATGATTTTGAAAATGAAACTTGAAAGAATCTGAAAATTTTCATGGATTTTGTTTGGCAATGTTATTAATAAAATTACTACTATTTGACCTTGAAATACACTCTAACATCACTGCTACCCACCTAGTTACACAGACGTATCGCCAGTGTATCATGGCTGAACTACTTCCGGGATTTGAATTCGGTAAGATATTTTTATTTCTCGATTTACATCTACTTATAAGACACGATGTGGATTATAATTTGGCTCGAAGTTATTGGAGATAGTCTAGTTTGAGAATGTGTTGATGGTTTTAGGTTTGGTATGTTAACGAAGACGCATTTCACATATTTAGTCCCTCGCTTTTGTTACACTGACGATCGGCATTAGTATTGCCAATATTACACTGATATTGGTCGTTCGTCAGTGTAACAAAAGCGAGGGACTAAATACGTGAATTGTGTATTCGTTAACATATAAAAACTAAAACCATCGACACATTCTCAAACTAGACTATCTTCCTTAACTTCGAGCCAAATTATTATCCACAATGTGACTTATAAGTAGGTGTAAATCGGGAAATAAAAAAATCTTACCGAAACCTAGTCCCGGAAGTAGTTCCGCCATGATACACTGACGATACGTCTGTGTAACTAGGTGGGTAGCAGTGATCATACACCACTACAATTATTTTTTACATTACATAAACATTAAACAAGAATGGATTCATTTAAGTTTGAGTTTAAATGTATTTCCTCATCTTACAAAATTCTCAACTCACCACAGCGGTTATATATTTATTTTACAAGTGGATCCAAGAGACCAAGTGGGCAAGTCCATTATTTTGAAGGAGAGGCAGGATATACACATAGCAATTTCCACATACTCACATTGCCATTAAAGAAAACCTACTGAAGTTTAGTAGTCAATAAATATCAGATCTGTAAATTTCAAAAATCAGAAGCGAATTCAATAATAACCAGATTAGAATACACAAATAAATTATTGGCAAATTTATCAGAATATTTAGGGGTTTCATTAGCAGCAGGCATCAGGCAATTTTTACAAATTGTTTTAACGTCCCCATGTAAAGTTTAAACCACTTTGGCTTATATTGTAGTCTTACCCTATGTTATCAAATTGTGATATGTGAAACATTTTTTTTAATTTCAAAAAGTGGTTTTTGATTAGACTTTTTGTTCCAAAATTAGTGAATTTATTTAAAACTAACTTTTAGAGGTCACACATATCTTTTAATTAGCCACAATTCATACCAATGCATAGCATTCATCCTCGCATGTTTTTTGTCGAAAAATTAAGAAAGTCGGTTTATAAATAAATTATAAGCGATAAATGAACTCATGAGTGCATGTATCGTATTGTATTGTATTGCCTTTTATTTCTCCTTTTATAGAAGAGTACAATCAACGTGCAAATATAAAACTCACAATATAAAATTACATAAATTCAACAAACATCGAAACATGTGAACCAACAAACAAATAAAAATAAATAATAAAAACACATGGATGCGATAAAATTATAAAGATAAACATATGTACATCATACAGATATTCTTGTATTGTTTTCTATTACATATAATTGCAATCATGTTATGAGTTAAATTGAGTAAGGTACTGGACAAGATTAGAGATCTTAATTGCGCTATATGAAATGTATTGCTCCCAGATTTCTTGCTTACAATTTTGGAAGACATCAATTGTGCCTCCCAATAAGGCTTCTATCAAAATGTTGCCTTCGGCATTAAATAATGCAACAGAATCAACGGGATCTAGAATATCCACGATGCCCTCAAACAAATTGTCTCGAAGTGAAATTACTGCTTGGCATTCTAAGACAGCATGTTTAACTACATCATTAGTTTCTACTTTGCATGCTTTACATGTCATTTTTTCATACTCGGTGTTTAGGATAATCAAATTCAAAAGTTGCGCGAATTTCCAAGTTGATGCTGGGTACTTGAGTCCGAGCTTCCAATAAATAACTGTTTTATATTCGTGTTGGATGTTTTTATAACGAAATGTCTTTGGATTATTCATGACAGACTCTCTCCATAGAGACTCCTCTCTATTTTGAATTTGTGCGACGATGTAACTTTTCCACTTCTGTTTGGCAGGGAATGATCCAGTAAGTATAAATTCTGAGACTACTTCTTGTAAAGCAGGGTATTTCTTACAGATATCAAAGACGTCCGAGATAAAACCTGTGCTTGTAAGATGTGCACCATGCCGTACAATGTAGCTACTGATGCGTCTTAAAGATTCTCGCAATCTTTATCCAATCAGCGTTTGCGAGTGTGTCGGCTCACGTATAAAACGCGAATCCAACTCAAATCCATGCAGGGGTGTATGAGGTACTCGAATAGGAAAGAGCTCGTGAAATCTGAATTTATATGCACATGGTCAATGTTTACCCATGTTTGGAGTTATTGAAGAAAATGTGATATGGGTGTGGTTCCGAATTTGAAGTCATTGCTGGAAAATATGATTTTAATACGTGAAATTATATCTATAAATACAGCACTAAAAATAACAGTACACATGAAGTACATATATAATTGTGTTCAGAAATGTTTGAAACCCTTACGGAAAATTCTGTCTGTATTTTGTCACCATTGCTCTTTCTTCCCGCGTTCTAGTGCTGTTTGAATGAATATATTAATTAATGTATTTCTAACTAAAATATATCACATTTTATTTATAAACCACAAACATTTAGATCATAAAAAAATTATTCAATACTTGAGTGAGCACGATATGCAAGGGTTACTAAGTTGACACAGTAAATGACCACTGATATTGTGTTAGTCCATGCACACAGCGTATTCTGCTAAGGACATAAGAAGTAGATTATTTGCTTTGCGTTCCCTTGCTTGCACGATTTTGAGTAAATCAGAAAAAAACAAACACATCAAAATAGCAATCACAAGGGTCTGAAAGTACCATTACATTTCGTTCAATCAGAATCAGACGAAATGGCGGATAATTTGATGTGCGTCAAAATTGACAGTGTTATAATTATTTTGGCATACATTGTGTATTTTCTTATTTTTTACCCTTGAAGTTTAAATATATTGTATAAAATGTATAGATATGTGTTTGTAATCACTGCAAATTGGTATGTCACCCCTTTTTATGCCCATAAAATGTATACATTTCTCAGCAAACAAGTTTGTGTTTTTTTCTTGAGTTTGTGTTTGTTTTCCTTGTACCCTTGCATGATTTGGATATTGCCAGGACGCAAAACAAAGAATCTACTTCTTATGGTCTAATACACATTTGCTAACACCCCCACTTTCAAAGTGAAGTGACTAATGGGTTTATGTTTACGTTTTAATGTGTTTTTGGTTCCTTGTTACAGCAAGGGGGGTCAGTAAAGTAGACTAACATGTTTGCATGGCAAATTTTGATCGACTATGTGAGACACTTTAAAAACACTTTAAACTGTATAGAATCTGGTTGGGACGCGCAAAGTCTATCAAGAAAGGACAGTTTATTTTTATCTACATAGCTTCTCATTGACCATAGTCCAAGAGTAGCTATGACGGCATCACTGGTAGTTCTCACTGGAAAACCTTGAACACGTTTTGCAAAATACCGTTGTGCGATTTCGAGCTGTGGAAATTCTTGGTTTTTTATATTAGTCCAAAGTTCGCAACCAAAGAGCGCGCTGGTCAAGATGAAACGTTTCCATATATTACAATTAACGATAGGATTAATTCCTTCATTTCGCATTCCGATACCGCATAAAGAATTGAAAATCTTTTTACAAGAGTTACATGCTTTTTCTATTGTGCCCTTAGCGTTAAGATTCTGATTTATAATGTTTCCAACATAAGTGACTTCCTTTTTAATTGGTAGTGGTTCGTTGCCTAGTGTGAGATACTGCACCATTTCTGATTTAGTATCGTTTGTAAATATCACAATTGAACTTTTACCATCGATACCTGCGTGGTAGACCATTCTCCACAAACAACTATATTGATACACTATGTTGAGTAACTCTTGCAAATCAGTAGGGGTTGTCGCCAATATCGTGATGTCGTCTGCTACTAAAAGGTTGGATATTTTAAGGTCGCAAACCCGTGGGCCATACTGCGTTGAATTAAGTTCCTTTATCAGATCGTTTATGTAAATCAGGAACCACATTGTGGAGCATATCCGGCCTTGCCCACAGCCCTGGGAGACTTGGAAGGCTCGAGAAAGTTCACCAGCATAAAGAACTCTGGCGTAAGTGTCGCTATAGCTCTGGACTATCAGCCTCCACGACTTTCCGTTGATACCAAGCTTATGAAGTTTGACGAAAAGCCCAGGCCTCCATAACAAGTCGTAGACTTGGCAATTGTCCAAAAACGCGGAATATATAGTGGATCCGCCTCTTTCCAGATGGTGGTGTATAACCTCCTTAAGAACAAATGTGGCCATTTGACTGCCTCCAGCGTTTGCAAACTGAAGTTCGTGCGGAACTTCGATTTGCTTAAGTAGTGGTTCATTTCTTTGTAGAATTAGCGTATCCCACACTTTACTTATAACCGGTGTTAACGATAATCCTCTGTAATTCCTCCTAATTAAACGATTCTTTTTCTAGAGATATCATTATAGCAAGCTTGTGGCTGATAGGTATGAATTCAACATTAATCATTGCGTTAAACAGAAAAGTAATCGCATATACAACAATAGGGCCTCCGAATTTTAAGTGCTCATTTGT